TAACCATTCTAACTTTAGAGCAAGCCTATACAGCTGAAATTTATTGGATTTCATTAACCAACGTCACCATAAAAAAAAAATTAAAAAAAAAAGGCAAGCCTATATGAAACAGCTGACTTAAGTATTCCTCTTTATAGTTGATGAAGTTGAGAATTAGAGGGCTAAGTAACTTGCCAGGCTCACACTTCCAGGAGACAGGAAAGTCAGATTTCAAATCCTAGTTTCCTAGAGCCTGTATTCTTAATTACTTTATCTACTACTGGTAAATCAGACATTTCCTATGATATCAACCTCTAGCCAAAAAGCTGATTTGGTTCATTCAATTTCTTTTCAAAACATTTAAACCAGAACACCCTGTTTATTTCTCATCATCGTTTCAAATTCCTCCATTGATTGTTTTACTTTAATATAATTTTCATATTGTCTAATACAATTTTCTTCTTCCTACCTCTAAGTTTATATTAAAAAGTGCACTGGGTAATCTGTAAAATTTAGTGACCTGTAATTAAAATTTTTAAAAATTATGTTACACACAAATGGAAAGATAAATAATACATGCGTAATATATATTATAGAGATTCTCTTGCTAAATGGGCACTTTCAAAGTTTGGAGTTAAGCAAGCACTGAGAAATCAAGCTATATATATTCAATGATTATTTGTCTCTGCTCTTCTTGCTTCCAATTCAAGATCCATTCTCAACTTCAACCCTTATTCTGCTAGTCAGGTACCCACAATATATCATGCACAAAGACAGGATAACTGGAATAACTGGATGATTAATGCTTTCACCGCAGGTAATTACACATGAATCCACATTTTAATGTCAAAGGATGCCCTAAAATCATCATCGCTGCTTGATAATACCAGAGAACTTCCTTTCAAGGTAAATGTTTATGTGGCTCATATCTACCCTCTCTTTCTCCATATGTATGGAGTTGAACAAATTTCCAAAATTCTTATGCCCAAGTTATTAAAGTGTAAATGTTAAAAAACTCAAATTCCATTACAAATATATTACATGTAATGTAATTCATTATTTGAAATAATGAATCAAGATGACTTTTGCCCAGAAATATATCAGTTTTAGATATTTTTTGAAATTCATTAAAAATAACCTGGCCATTACTAAGTCAGATCCACAAGAGACTTTAAGAAATAAAAGTGTATCTCATTAAAATGTGTGTCAGAAAAGTTGGAACTATTTATGTTAGAACTACCTATGTATTGGGAACATAAAATTCAGAATAAAAAAGGTTATGAAAGTGGGGAAAAACGAGGATTTCAAAAGGAAGTGTGGATCTAAATGATCAATTCTTGGTAAGAAAAGGGCTATTTTTTTTAATCGCATTGTATTTTATAATTAAATATGCACTTTGGTGATGAGTAAATCTGCAGCCTCACTTCTACCACAAAAATGAATAACTAAGCCACAGCTCTCAGGCAATTAAACACACCTCAAAATGCTAAGTGCTACTGATAAGAAATTTGACTAAGAAATTTTAAGAATGGAATTTCCCCAAGATAGTCAAGCTGAATGTCAGCTATAAGCATATGATATGCCATAATGAGGGGGAATGGGGTCTCAGCCTCCCTAGCTCACCACAGATGGTTGTTGAAAGTGATTTTTTGCTGGGCCTCTGAGAAATTCAATGAGGAAAAATGTGATTGGCATTTGTGATCTATCTAGGGGAAAGTTAACTAATATGCATTAGACTAGTATGTGAGTTAACAAACGTTAGCAACTTAAAACAGTACTTTGTACATACTAAACGTCTAATAAATATTAATAGTAATAATAACAGCTAAATTTTATAGGGCTGACCACATACATACAAGGTAAGCAGTGATAGGATGAGATGAGTATGGCCAGTGATAAAAGAGGGTCTTAAATGAAGGAAACTTGAGTTGATTTATAGAAGTATATTAAGAGAAAGGAATAGAGGTGAGAAGAACAAAGAACCCTTTATTAAGTACTACATCTGGCACACCTGTTAACTTATTCTTCTGTATTATTACCTCTTAAGTATAGGGCTGTTAGTATGACTGGCTAAAAAAGATGTACATACTGGCTAGTATCAGGTCGAAATATGGTCTATATATGCCAGATCATTAAGGGTCATAAATTCTTGGTAGAGGAACCTGTTTTTTAGAGTAGGTCATGGAGGGCCATCATAGATTTTAGAGTAGAGGAGTACAAATAAAGTATTCAAGTTCAGGTTCTAGAGTTAGTTGAATTTGAGGTGTTCTCTTATTAAGTGTGTCTCGGTCTAGTTGCTTAACTTCTCAGAGCTTCAATGTTCTTATTTGTAAAATGGATATAGTTGTGTCTACCTCATTTTGTATGTGTGTAAAGTGTTGAGCATACGGCCCATCATATAATAAGCATTCTCAATAAATGCCAGCCGTTACTACCTAGGAGGCTAGGTTCTAGGTGGGGAAGCCGATGTGGGTATAGTTACGAACGCAGGGAAATGGGAAGAAGGAAGCCATTCTAACACTCTTAGAAGAAAATGCCCATTGGGACACCTGGATTTCAACAACTTTGAACTTACGTGACAGTTAATCTAAGTTATAGAGTTCAAAACGGAGAAGTTAGACTGGGTTTCTAAGAATAAAAATTTGGCTACTCAAAATGATTTCAAATTTGGAAACATCACACCAATATATCATGGGACATTGTATCTACCTCCCTCTTAAACTTACTCTTTTGTTACCAAAGCAAGAGTTTAAGAACTCAGAGGAAGAGAATGTCAAAAATCTTAGACTGAATCAGAGGTGAATTCCATAGGCCTGGAAATTACCACTTTGTAGGGGAAAACAAATGAAAAACCAAGAGAAATTTAACAAAGACTGCCAAACGGATAAACATCCTAACAGTGGAGGAGAAGGTTATGGGCCAAACTTTTTATAGTACCTTGTTTGTTTGATGTGACAATGGCCACCAATGTCCCTAGAAGTACAGTGATAACATCTGTGCCTCCCCTCAACCCCCATCAAAACTGCTCTTGGAGTTCCAGAAGAAAAGATATCATATCATATACATTCTTATATTCCCCACATTACTGAACGAATATTTTGGTAAGTATTCCATTATTCGTTGAACTGAAATGAATTTGTGAAACTGGCTGCTCCAAATGAAGAGCTATTTTGGGGCCCTGAGCTTATTCTCCCAACATCTAAAGCATTTTGAGTTAAGAGAATGAGTCTAAAATGCTATAGGAGACTATTTCAATCTTTCTAAACAGTCTCTTTAATGAACATCTAGATGACTAGGAATGTGGAGATTCTGAAACTCAGTAGCTGTTGGGTAGACTTGAACCATTCTACTTTGTATAACTGGAACAAATATTGTCTATGGGTGAGTTCTGGACTACAAGTCTAAATTCCTGGGTTCCAGTCTAGCTTGTGCCACTTAACACTCCTGTTAACATCTATAAAATGGTGATAAGACTATCCACAATACTTCTTCAGAGAAGTAACATATATAAGAGAATGATTAAATGCAAAGGAAATAAATATTTGAGAGTTCATCTTTTTTTTGAACTTGAATTATTAGCACTTGGGGGTGAGAAAACATTTTGTGATATGTTATGCTGATAGCAATTTTTTCTCGATCATCGTTTTGTACATAAAGAGTGAAGAAAGAACATCAGCTTAAGTTGGCAATGCTGGGAAAGCAAAGGAGAAACAGCCAAGGAAAGCAGACTCTGCACAAGAATATGAGCGAAGCCTGTGAAACAGTAAATCAGAGCAGCTAATGAAGCTACGCCTCTTCCAAAACTTAAGCCCAAATGTCAACAGATACACAGATGAAATATACTTTTATAAACACAAGTGCTTATGTGGAACCAGGCTGCGAGTTTTAAAGATTAGTAAATGCTGAAATATTGAATAATGGAGATTGACTCTTCATTAAAATAATTTACCATCTTTTTATATTAGTATCAAGCATTTTTGGTACTCGCCCCCCACATACAGCTTGGTATCATAAAAAATTTGGCTTATTTAAGCACTTATTATCTTGTTCAGATATTTATCTTAATATTACTTAATGTTATAGTGATAGAAAATAAACACTGAATGATTCTTTTCCATTTTAAATGAAGAATGTTTGGGAATAACAATCATGTAAATAATCATGCTTCTGGATTTAAAAAAAAAAAGTACCGGAAAACATAAATAAGTTTCATTACAGAAAGCTAATCCCTGTGACCAAAATATTTGAGTTTTCAGTTTCTTAAGCCAGAAGAGTGTGTAAGTCAAACAATGTGCAAATCCTATTATGCACGTTAATCTTTTAAGGGGATAGTCACAACCCAATATTTGAAATGCTTTATTACATTATTCATTGTGCTCCCCGACCCCACTCCCACACCCTTCCTCAAAAAAAGTATCTAAGTTTGTGCTACGTACCGAACCAAAAGAAAGCAGTCTTTGAGGGGGAAAGATAAAGCCTATTTCATGTTTTCCACTACTTTTCCACTCTCTTTAGGGGAAACAGTGAAGGGAATGGGGCAAAGACACCCACCCTCAAGGTCTGAATCAAATGAGGAATACATGTCATTGTGAAACCACTGACCAGATGACATCTACCAGACAACTGCATCTTCCCACACGTCATTAAGAAGTAGGACAACTGAAATAAATGTTAGCACTCTGTTTCTTGACAGCCTCAGAGATCTGAACGATCTCTCCAGCCCTCCCCTGGGAATTACCCAACTCGTGCTTTCGGCTCCAATAATTCACACCCTCACGAGACTGCAAGCCACAGTACCTTCCTGAAATGCTGGGGTGCCTTTTCTCTATTATGGAAACTGGAGGGGGCGGGGGGCGAGTAGGGAGGAGGGAAGACCGGTGCTACAGAAAACGTTCAAGCCACCAGACTGTCCTTGTCAAAGTTCCAGAAAACTGCTTCCATCCCAAACCCGGCCCTGGCAGAGAAGTTTGGGCAGCGCGCTTTCTACCCGCTGCGGACGGGTCCCGGCTGAGAGTACTCACTGGGCTGAGCCAACTTTGCCCTCTCTCTTCCCGAGCACTTTGGCAGGCTTTGTGTCTTCCACATCTTGCTGTAGTTCGGTCATCGGGGCCGCGTCTGCAGGGCACCTTCAGACCTCCGCGCGCCTGCCGCCGCCTCCCGCCCTGTGCCCCACGCGTCCTCCTGCCGACGCTGCCACGGTCCCGGGCGCCCTCCCCCGCGCGCGCCGCGGCTCGGCGCATCCAGGCCCGGGCCGCGCAGCCCGCCGCCAACCTGGACACGTTCGAGGGGCCGCGATTGGTCCGAGCCAGAGTGGAAGAGCCGCGAGGGAGGGAAGGGGAGGGTCGAAGCGAAGTGACAGCCTCTTTCCCCAACCCTGGAGGGGGAGGAAGAGAAAAAGGAAACCTGTTGAACTAGTCTTTCTGGGAGAGGAAGCTAATTGGCCAGGCAGGTGAAACATTTGCCTAACAAGGCACCACACACTGTATTTAGCTTCCCAGCAAGAGGGGCGGTTTTTTCTATCCCGACTGTAACGAGGGGTTTAAAAATGACCAGCCGGCTGTAGATACAGGAAGTGGATCCGACTGAGTGAGGCTGTCTCTCACACGGATGCGCTGTGTGGGCTGGCCTATGCCCCAGCCTAAATTATTCAAACAGGATACGGCCTCATTGAGGACTGCTTCGTGGGGCCTTAAATCTTAGGTTAGTTCAATAACAAAAGTAATGAGATGGTTGCCTTTAGTGGGTGTCTGATTAACCCTTCCTAGTTCTGTGGAGGAGAAGCATTCAAAACCTCACAGCTGCTTATTTACTATGCACCCAACTGATAAAATGAACGCCTCGTCTTCCCGCCTCTTGGTGAGGTTTTGATTTGATGGTGCTATGTCAAGTTTTGCATACGAAGCATCCATTTGTTCATTTAACAAACATTTGAGAGCTACCATGTCCCAGGCATTGTGAACATGCTTATTACAGCAAATAACTTATGTGTTGGTAGTTTTCTAATTTGCTACTTAATGGTTGAGAATAAGAATAACTAATACAAGATCTTGTGGTTGGAGGCCTAACTTTACAACAATTACAAGTGGCTATAGTAGAGCATGACAGAGCTAGGAAAAATGACCAATTCTGGGGCTGCAAGTCCTTGATTTTTCATTTAAAGTTAATTTTAGATTTAAGAATAATTAGACTGTGCAACGATAGTGCTTGTGTGTGTGTGTGTGTGTGTGTGTGTGTGTGCGTGTAAAAGAAAACACTCTTCTAAATAACCTCAAACATTTTGGAGGTGCAAGTCCTTTCCAAAGTTTTCTTATTTCCTTTCCATTTATTAGTTTATATCATTAGACTGAGAGAGAGAGAGTAAAAGTATCGTTTTGTAGCCCATTTGCTCCAAAATTGATTCTTGTGACACTTGAAAAATAGGTAAAAGAAAAAAGTTCATGTAAAAATTCCATGAGTGTTCTAGTGTTCTTCCTGTGTTCTCCTGTTTGTTTGTTTGTTTGTTTGTTGTTGTTTTTTTTGGCCTCCTGGCTACTGACTCCTTCACTTAGGAGCTGGGTGGGGAGGACTCTGGGTGACTTGGAGGCTTGGAAGTGGTTCTCTTCCATGTCCATAGAGCTGGCTCTAACTGGGGACATGAGGCTTGCAGCCTCCGTGTCCCTTTTCTAGCTCCATCCCCTACTCTGGGACTGGGCTTGGAATATAGATGAAGTTGCCATCCTCCCAAACTCTGGGTAGTGACTCTCTTTAAATCTCCAAGCTGCCCCCACTACAGAATTCAGACCAGAACTGACTCTTTTTTTACCCCTAAGTAATTTTTTAATTGCAGTAAAATGTATGTAACATAATATTTATCATTTTAACCATCAGTAAGTATGCAATTCAGTGACATTAAATACATTCACAATGTGTATAACCATCACCACTATCTATACCCAAAAGTTTTTTTTTTTAATCGTTCCCAACACAAATTCTGCATCCATTAAACGATAACTCTTCCTTCCCCACAACCTCCCAACTCCTGGTAACCTCTATTCTACTTGTTGTCTCTATGAATTTGTCTGTTCTGGGTACCTCAAATAAGTGGAATCAAACAATATTTGTTCTTCTGTTTCTGGCTTATTTCACTGAACATAATATTTTCAAGGTCCATCCAAGTCATAGCATGCATCAGTACTTCATTCTTTTTGTAGCTGATATTTCATTGTACATACATTTGTTTATCTATTCATCTGTCGATGAACATTTGGGGTGTTTCTACCTTTTTCGCTATTGTGGACAATGCTACTGTGAACCTTGATGTGCAAATATCTGTTGGGGTGCCTGCTTTCAATTCTTTTGGGCATATACCTGGGAATAGAGTTGCTAGCTATATGGTAGTTCTACATTTAACTTTTGAGAAACCATGGCCAGGCCTCCTTTAATGCATGAAAGAGGGCAAGTATTCTCCAGCATGGGCTTACAGTACAGCTCAGTCACTGAGCACTCAGTTGTCCTGAAACTTCTTTAGAGTATGGGATGAGGACTTCCAACAGTGTGGTCTTAAGTGAGAAAGGAGGTAGGGAGTCAGGTGTGTGGGAAAACAGCAGATAGTTCTTTCCTAGAGTGGGCACGAATTAGGAAGGAGCAAATAAACTATGTTATTTTACCTAGTGTCATTTCTCTAAGTTTAAAAGACTTGTCAAACAACTTTCTAATTTGTTTATTCTTGGGGGCTATTATACAGTAAAATGAAAAGCAGTATTTAAAAAGCAACAGCAGCCAAATGATAGGGAAAATTTTATCGTAGTGTGACAAAATAAACACATCAAGTTATGTCTAAAATATATTTTTGATTTTGCTCCAATACAAGACCCTTTACTTTTCTTCCTCCAAGCTTCTGGGAACATAATTTTTCTTGTTTCTAATATCAGAGAGTAGTTCTAGCCAATACTTTTTCCAATTCTTGAAGCAGGTTAAGTAGAAGATGTCTAACCCATTACCTTTCAGGAGGTAGGAGCTTCTCTTTAATAGCTTAGAATATTGATCAAATGTTGATCTCTTTTTAACATTGATCAGATACATTGTGTATCTGTCCACAGTCTCAGGGACAGAGTTCAAATATGAATTTGAAAATTTGAGTGGAGATAAGGTTGCAATGTATGGTCAAGTAGTTACCTAATTTATGACACATGACAGGTTATGTATTAGCCAATATAAGTACGGGTGAAGTGTCTTTGTGTGCCTGTAATTTCATGCATATTGTCCAATGACATGTTTTAGATGTTGATGCTTTTATCAAGATGTAAACCGCAAGCTCAGTAATAGTTTAACTATGCATAATATTTAATAGATCAATGTCATAAGTCAGAGAATTCTAGGAATACTCATCAGACCATTCTTGTTTCCGATTTAAGGTCAATATCCAAAGGAGAAAATGGGGATGGGGGGTGGGAAATGAAAGAAATCAGAAGAGAGCCATATGATGACACTGAAGAACTTAATTATAAGAATTTTTTAAAAAAACTGTGAGTAGCATTACATGAAAAGGATCTGTATTAAATGATTTCTGTCAAATATGAAGGACAGTTTCCTGATGAATACAGCCATTAAATATTGGGATGAGATTCTAGAGTGGGCTATGGAATCTCTTCCTACAGAGGCCTTTAAAAATAATATTTAAAAAAAATCAAATAGAATAGTTCTAGACCATTATTTCCCAAGCCAAGTTATACCGCAGATGGGGAAATTTTAAATATGCACTCTATTTTTCTTTCTAAGGATGAGGCAAGAACTAAGCTTCGCACCTGTGTTGAGAAGAATAGGCGAGATGGTAAGTAAGGGCGTAGTTGTCTAGGGGCAGGTGGTAGTTGGGAAACACTAGTATAAATCTGGTTCTGTGAGAAAGCAAAAGCAATAAAAACATTTTTTTTTAAATTTTAAAAAATATTGAAACAAATGATGCCACACAAAACAACAAATTAAGATCTACCCCCGAAGTTGAAATATATATGTCTATTTTCTATATGGTAAATGTTACAGATCACATGTGAAGTGGGGACGCCTCTGAAACCACCTGGTAGCGTGGTTTTCACACCAGGTTCTGAGGGAGTCTGGGGCTCTTTGAACTAGCAAGGGGAGGAGCTGGTGTTTGAACTTAGGTCTTCTGACCCCACTGCCTTCCTCTTACTGCTACTCCAATATGCAGCCTCTCCTGCTCAGTTAGAACTCTTCCACTTGTATGTCTTTCCTATATTTCTGTTCCATATTAATTTCTATTTAAGGGTAGGGGAAAGGATTGCCTGCCATGCACTGAACAAAATTTAGAAATCAAATCTTTGCCATAGTTTATCAGAGGAGAACCCGAGCTTCAGAGAGTTTAGCGATTTGGCTAAAATTATAGTGGTCCCATGAGGACACAGACTCAGCTTTTCTGACTTCAAGTGGGGTGCTTGTAGGAGTAGAGGAGAGTGAACAGAGCAAAACAAGGTTCGTTAATGGCAGAGACACATGCCTTATAGGAGAGCGTGTGGGACGGGGAAAACCCAACAACCCTCAGACATATGTAACATTTGTGGGGAAAGAAATGTTTGAACCTAGAGCTATCTTTGGTGTCTGTATTGGCTATTGCCAGATAACCACCTTGAAGCTTGATGACTTAAAACAGAATTTTTTTTCTTTCATGGTATGATGGCTTGATGGGGCTCAGCCTGATGGTGCTCACTTGGGGTCTCCCATGCAGTTGCGGTCAGATGGCACCCAGGGTTGAAATCATCTGAAGACTCAACTGTACAGTCTCATGTTTTTGGAGCTTCAGCTGGGATGGCCAGAACAGCTGGGGACTACCTGGGCATTTTAGTTTCTCCACATGGCTAGTTTGGGCTTCCCTACAGCACAGCAATCTCAGTATAACTGGACTTTTTACTTGGTGGCTGGCTTCTTCCAGACCATGTGTTCTGTGATACCACGACAGAATCTGTAAGGCTTCCTGTGAGACAGACTTGGACGTCAGGCACCTTTACATGCTGCATTCTATTGGTCAAAGGTAAGCCACAGGGCCAGCTCAGTTTCAAGGCAAGAGAACTACACAGGGTGTCAACACAGGGGTGTCATTCACTGGGGACCATCTTTGGAGACCAGCTACCACATTTACTCACATGCCCAGTGACAAAGCATCACTACAGATGAGACTGAAAATAAAAAAAGTAAGTACATAAATGACATGGTTTCAACAGATAGGCAATACAAAGAGAATAAAATAGAAAGCCATGTGGAGTGAGGGAAGTCTGTTTTACACAGAAAGATGAGGGAAGCCTCTTTGAGAGATGACATCTCAGCTAAGACTTG